GGGGTGATGTGCAGCTCAACCGGGTTCGATGTAAACGCTTATTTTGATGCTGATCTTTTGATGTCGATGATAAATGACCAGATGAACGCCTGACCTGTACTTGCGTTGATATTTGGACACTTATCATTGGGAACAAATTGGTTGAAGTCGAAGGTTGCTGACTCATTACTGACTCATCTTCGGATCGGCGCCGTGAACGTCCGAAGTATAGACGTTTGTTCCTACCTTGAACATTCTAGATTACTGGAACTACTGTCTATAAATTAGAGAAGGAATACGCTTTTTGAAAGCGGATAAACCATGTATCAAGTGTTGGTTAGAAATGTGGTCTACGGCAGTCTCTAACTGCCAGTGCGTCATATCAAATTTAGGTCAATATCATACCATTTCAAAGGTTGTAGGAAGTCCTTCTCTTGCCACTTTTGTATACATATGAAAACTGTATTAAGAATTGATAACTCACTCTTGCGGTATACCCTGCATGGCCTAATTATTGTTTCAACTATGGAATTGCGCGTTAAATGCTTTCACCCGGGTCCTTCGTCCCTAAGTCTTGTACTTTATTCATCAAGCATGCAACTTGTAGACCCATGTTTTGGCTTTCTTCACCCAGGACAGATGGATTGAACAGCTAGGCTCCCATTGTATCTCTAAGAATATGTACCAAGATTACGGCTCTTGTGTGGAACATCTGAGTCGATGTAGCTATTCTTGGGATATGGTTGGATATTGAACTCGGTGTCATATCCCCATTATGTAGGTAGTGGCAAATTTGCCTAAAGCAGTGAATCGAGGGTTGATGAAAAGGTGCCTAGGTGGAGTCGTGATGTGCGGCTCAAATATCTTGGCAAACCTTAATAGCCTTAGTGGACAGAATGCGAGAGGGCTTCATGCGTCAGTCTAATTTCAGGCTTATAAAATCATCATTTATACAGGGGGAAGCAATGAATACGATCGATTCCGTTGGGATATACTTTGACAATGTACTCCGACATTGCAGCCTGTCCAAGATGTTGTATTCTGATCTGCCTTGTATCAACTTTGGGATGTAGTAATGTCTATATTATCCAGTAGAGAAATATATTACTCATACTGGGACCCTTCAAATAGATAGATACAAACTCAGGAGTCGTGTCAGATCGTCCAGAGTTGTTATTTATGAGTTATGGCGGGGTTCCATACGCCCTCTTTTATGCTAAGATCTAGATAGCTTCAGGCTTTCAGTCATGTAATAGGAGCCAACGCCTGCCCGATAGCCGCACAGCGTCTAGAACGCTTTCTCTTTTTGGCATCTCGATAAGACTAATACTGATCGGTCTCTCGATTGCTAGCGCGAGTGAAATAGCTCCAAAGGACGCGAGTGACCGCATCTAGTATATGTTTTGGAAGCCAGAGAAAGGTGGATGCTTAGACAGAGATATCTGCTCTGCCTATATACTCAAGGCCTGAATGATCATTATCTACGTGAGTATATCGTATAAATGCATTTTGATTGGTACATAAAGAACGAGCTAGCCATAATGCCTGATATATAGGAGAAGCTGATGCCTTAGGTATGTCAAGTGTGTATACTCCATACTAGATGCAGAAATAGCCAGTTTTCGCTCGAGAACTTGGCCTTTATTCAGAATGCATTTCAATTTACTTCAATTGGGCTCTTCAACCTTTTCAGCGTCTTCGCCGAGAGCTATATAGTTACCAAGCTCAGTCCTACTTTGATCATATCATGGCTCTACAAAATTACCTCCAGATTGCTCCTTATCTTATACCTCGAGACTGTCCAGCCCTCCAACGTCCTACTATACGACATCCCGATCTTCAACCAAATAACATATTTATTTCTAATAATATGGAAATCAAAGGGATAATTGATTGGCAGCATACCACAATTCTTCTATTATTCCTTCAATGTGCTATTCCCGACAGTCTATAAAACTATAGTAATAAAGTTTCGGAGTCACTACGAATCCCGACTTTACCGAATAATTTTAATGAAATGACAGATATAGAAAAATATCCAGTAAGTAGAAACCCTACGCAGACGTCAACTTCACTATCTCTATATCAAAATGACAGTAGACATTAATCTAGGGTATTACGATGCCTTGACCCATGAGTTTAGTACTTTATAACGACGCCTTTTCCATCACGCTAGTAATATATAGGACGGTGATAATATAATATTAAAAGCAGATCTAGTTACTCTATTTAGTAAGTTGGCAGAGGTAAGCCATAACGCGAAGGTACCCTATCCAATTTCTTTTACAGATAATGAGTTGATTGAATGTCTGCGACTAGAATGGGCGCAGTCGCTGATACGTAGTTCTAGGCTTGCCAGGAAGCTATTAGAGTTGGTCATAAGGGGTGGGTAACTACCTGTTGCACACTATGACGAAGCAAAAGCACGCAAGAGAAAATTGAGAGCGGACGCTCTTGATGCGGCAGAAACGGAGGAGGAGAGAACAAGGATTCAAGAAAACTGGATTTTCGATGACTTTAGCGAGGACGATTACACGTAAGGACCCCTCTACTTATTTATTTTTAGTACTGTCTGTCTGCCTTTCGTTCAATTATCAATTGAATCTGTCGCACAGAGAAATGATTGCAGAATATTACTTTGCTTGTTCATATCCAGAAAATCTTATATGTTCTACTTATACTATTAGGCTTTCAATACCCTGCAATATCATACGGAAAAAGAAAAAAAAAAGACCCCGCCACAATTAATCTATCGAGGCTGACAACTTCTTCAGACTTCGAATCCCTGGCCCTGCTTGGACAATGGCCTTTCGTATTCACAAACTCTCCCCTCTTCTAGTCCGGCCACCAGCGTTAAATCCTGGCCAGTCATTGGCCAGAGGCATGAGGGCAGCACATCACAGTGCAACTTGCATCCAACCAACCAACATCGTCAGTTACGCGCCCAAGTTCCAGGATGGAATCTGCACTGCTGATCGAATTGACCGGCTTAAAAGAATGCCATAGCCACCTCGAGGCAGATTTCTTCTCTTTTTTCTTCTTCAGCGAGCGTTTGTTGTGTTTCTCTGTCCTATTCGAGTTATCCTGAGCACTGGTTGCCTGGACTTTTGTTTCTTTCTTTATCTTCTATACTATTCTAATATTCTTTACCCTTTCTACCCTCAAACGAGCTGTGCTCTTTGAGATTTACTTGCTACGGATTTCCTCGGATTTTACAACTATTTACAGTCTACTTGTCGCCGGTCGACTTGATTCCGCTGTTCAACAGACATCTACAACAAACCCTTTAATATAATCTCGCTCGATTATCTTCTTCTTTGTCGGACCGGTTCCCCAAAGATCAAAGAGTCCAATATCCCGACTTGACAACCAAACTCTGGCAGTTTTAGGTTGTTCTAACTATACGATACTCTTGATCTTCTGCTCCCTACGACACCTTTTTTTAAACAACTTTTTTTTTGATACATTTGATTCATCATGGCCGCCGTTCAACTCAAGTTCTCCCTCCGGACCTCGTCCAACGTCAAGACCGTCCACCTGGTCGGTTCATGGGACAACTACCAACGCCAGATCCCCCTCTCCAGCGAAGGCAAGCCCGGCGCCTGGGTCGGCAAGTTCCGCTTCCAGACCTCAATGCTCCAACTCGGAGGCCGCTACTGGTACTACTACATGATGGACGGGTACCACGTATCGCACGACCCCGCCGTGGAATACACCGTCGAGCCAACCACCGGCCGCAAGCTCAACATCCTCGATGTCCCCGGCGGCAAGCCCACCAGCCGGTCCTCCGCCCCGAAGACCAGCCGCGCCGACGTTGTGACCGGTCGCGCCCTGTCCCCCTCGCGCATCCAGCACCCCAAGCCAACAAAGAACTACGCCTCGCGCCAACTCCGCGAAGCAGACTTCCCCCCGACCGTCGACGAGCTGACCCGCCGCTTCGCCGGCTCCCGTCTGTCAGACGAGTACTCGTACTCGAACAGCCCGCCCAGCTCGGCCGGGTCGTCTGTTTCGTCGCGGTCGTCGTCGGGCTCGACTTCGCCTTCCTCGCTCTCGTCTATGAGCGACCCGCCCGTGCACTGCCGCTGCCAGCGCTACGGTATCACCCGCAAGGGCGACCGTGTCAAGCTTGACTGTGGTGGTACCCGCTGTGGATACCAGTCTTCTGATGACAGCTGTTCTGAGTCTGAGTGCGAGAGTGATGAGGAGTACCGCCGTGCTCGCAATGCCGTTCGTCGTCAGGGTATTGTTGTCCGCCGGTAGATGGTGTTTGTCTGGCAGGTCCTGGACCTTGCTAGGTTGTTTGCTCTACTTGTTCTTTCGCTTGACTTTTTCCGGTCTGGTGAGACTTGGTCATTGCGTTTGCTTTGTGTTTTTTTTTTCTGAAAATGATAAACCAAAAACAGCCCGGACCGCAGGTGTACTGGTTTCGCGCTGCGGTTGGGCGGGGATGATAATGGTGTGGTGAGAGGAGGAAGAAGAAGACATTGATCCCAATACATCAATGTAGACAACGTCCACCCTGGATCATCCGATCCAGCCTCGTGGACTCCGACAAGCTTATCTTGCGCCGGTCAATGTGACCAGCACAAGCCATAAGATGACAAGATCTGTCCTGGGCCTCCTAGATCCAAAGGGGGCCTGACCAAGACAAACGGTATCTCGTCAACCAAAGAACATCGCCGCGATGTCATGGACTTGTTCATGCTTTGGTTTAGGTCTTACTCTGAGATATCAATGAATAATGAGATACGACCTGCGTCTATGTTCACTGTCTATGATAATCCGTAATTATAGCTGCAAACAGATAAGATGGGTTGTCGGTAGTAGGAAACGGAGTGTCGGGTTTATTTATGACTCTCCTGGGAAAACCACACGTAAAGTGATTCAATTCAAGTATGTAGGGCCGGTTATTCTGATGCGATGGCCAACGATCCTCCGAGACGCCGTGAAACAGGCCAAGCAGATGCGCATTTTTCCAGCAAGATCATTAAAGTACAAATGTAAAGTATTGAGCAACCTAATCAACGCACCGAAACCCCAGAGCGATCGGTGAACATCCGAGCGGCAATGTTCATGGAGGCCAGCTCTTGGAACAACAGCTTGGCGGCGTACGGAATGTGGACTTGCGAGATACGGTGCTTGTTGTTGCAAAGACGGCACTCGAAGAGACCCTTCTTCAGTTTTCTATAAAAACGGTTAGTTTTCTGTGTGACGAAAATGTATAAAGGGAGAATTGGAATACTCACGCAACTGGTGTCATCAGGCCGCAGTCGTCGCAAATATGAACACGGAACGGATCAGATACGTCAAAGAGACGCTCCTTGAGGAAAGCACTGGCGCCGTGGGCGATCATACAATCACGCTCCATCTCTCCGAAACGAAGACCACCGTCACGGGCACGACCCTCCACAGGCTGGCGGGTCAGAATCTGAGTAGGACCACGAGCACGAGCGTGGATCTTGTCGTCCACCATGTGGCGCAGACGCTGGTAATAGGTGGGACCCAGGAACACCTGCGCCACCATCTTGCGACCAGTGTGTCCGTTGAACATAACCTCGAAGCCCCGCGACTGGTAGCCGTGCTCGCGCAGCAGGCGGGACACTGAGTCGACAGTGACATCGGTGAAAGGAGTAGCATCACCCTCGAATCCACGAAGAGCAGAAACCTTACTGAGCTGACATTCGATCAAATGAGCAATAGTCATACGGGACGGAATAGCGTGGGGGTTAATAATCAGATCCGGAACGACACCTTCCCGAGTGAAAGGCATATCTTCCTGTCGATAGGTGATACCGATGGTACCCTTCTGACCGTGACGAGAGGCGAACTTGTCACCAATCTGGGGGATCTTGGTGGTACGCATGCGAACCTTGACGAACTTCAGATCGTCATTACCAGTGGAGATCAGCACCTGATCAACGATGCCGTTCTCGGTGCTGCGCAGGGGCGTCGACACATCAATCTTTGTGTGTGCCTTGGTACGCTGACCGAGCTCCTCCGCATCAGCAGCCAGCGGAGCTGTCTTGCCGATGATAATATCTTCTCCAGAGACACGCACACCGGGAGCAACGATACCGTCCTCGTCCAGCTTGTCATAGGTACCCTTGCGCATGCCAAGGGTGTCAATCCGCATAGGTTTCTCGAATCTCTCAACAACTTGCAGTCCCACCATCTTCTCGGTGTCCGCGTAGGTGCGGTAGAAAAGACTGCGGAACAGACCACGGTCGATACTGCTCTGGTTCATGATAACGGAATCTTCCTGGTTGTAACCAGAATAAGTTGCAATAGCGACAATAGCATTCTGACCGGCGGGCAACTCTCGGAAGCGCAGGAACTCCATTGATCGGGTGGTGGCCAAAGGCTTTTGCGGGTAGTAGAGAATATTGGCCATGGTCTCCATGCGCTGCGAAAAGTTCGTCAAGAATACACCCATGGCTTGTTTGCCCATGGCAGACTGATATGTGTTACGCGGCGACTGGTTGTGATCCGGGAAAGGAATAATACTAGCGCAAACACCCAAGATCATACTAGGGTGGATTTCGCAGTGCGTCCAGGTGTGGGCGCGCTGGCTGAGAATGGACCGAACACGCTTGTTGGGGTCGCTCGTTTCATCCTCGGGCAGAGCGTAACCGGCCTGAAGCTGTCGAGAGATCTCGAGATCCTCGGGGGTCATGACAATCATGATAGTTTCCTCTTCTTCGGCGTCGACATACTCAACTGCTCCGGAACGTACCAGACCATCCCATCCGAAGTATTGTTCACGGCGTTCTTCTGGGCCCAAGTCCGGTGGCAAGTCTTTGTCGGCCTCCAGCTTCCGAATGTGTTCCTTGTTAAGGACCAACCCACCCGAGTTCTCACTCTTGGGGTCATTATCGATAACGAAGAGTGGGCGGCAGACACGTCCTGTATCGGTGAAAATTTTGAACTCCCGTTCACGAATATCACGAATCAAACTGACTTCATGGGAGATCATGTTTCGTCGACGCAAATTCTGCATTGTCGTAACAAGATGAGAAGGGTCCCGGTGAATACCCACCCAGACACCATTAACAAACACTTTGGTCGCATTGGGCGTCACTTGGGGTTCAAACTCCTCGAGCACTTCCATGTTGCGCTGAATCATAAAGTCCACGATGGGTTCGGCGGGTGTACCGACAGTGATGTAGCACATCAATGCCAGGTTCTTGACCAGACCACAAGCTTGACCTTCAGGTGTCTCGGCTGGACAAACCAGGCCCCAATGAGTATTATGGAGCTGGCGGGGTTTGGCAATCTTTCCGTCTCTGCCAATGGGTGTGTTCGTCCGGCGCAGATGAGACAGGGACGAGGAAAATGTGTAACGACTCAGCACCTGGGATACACCAGCCTTGGCAGAAGCCGCCTTCTTCTGCTCGCCCCAGTTACCAGTAGCAAGAGCATACTTCAATCCACCGGTCAATGTGCTAGCCTTGATACCAATGTTGAGATAAATCTCGCGATTGGTCTCAACGCATCGCTGCACGTAACGCTGAAGATCCTTCGTGACTCGCGTGAAAAGAGTCCGGAAAAGACTTGCCAAAAGTGGACCAGCCAGATCGAGTCGCTTCTTTCCGAAGTGGTCACGGTCATCAACATCACGGCGACCCAAAGCACATTGAAGAAGTCGGTGCACCATATACCCAAGGAAGAAAGCTTTGCGGGTTTCGCTGCCCTCGCTCTGCGAAATGTGAGGCAGCAATTCCTTCTGCATGATATCCCGAGCGTAGCGCACACGACGATCGTGGTTCAGGTTCGTCTGTGACGATCCACGCTTGGCAATGAAATCCAGGGCAACTTCACGGTCCTGGATGACAAAGCCCTCCTCAATACACGGCTTCAACATCTCCAGCATGGGGGTATCGTTGCGGTCATAACAAATGTGGTTGAGAATATCTTCATCGGAAACGACGCCCAGCGCACGGAAAACGACGACGATTGGGATATCGGCCTTGACATATGGGAGCGTCGAGCGAATCGTCGGGCCAAATCCTCCTTTGGCGCTGTCACCCTTGGCAAAAAGCTTCAACGTAAGCGACGAAAGCATACGTGAGCCCTTCTCGACTGCACTTCGAATTTCGGCGATGTATGGTGTCGGGCTGGGGGGTGCCTTCTTGAAGACTTGGACGATGTTGCCCGCACTGCGCTCCTGTGCGATCAAAACCTTCTCACTTCCGTTAATGACGAAGTAGCCGCCAGAGTCGTAGGGGCACTCATTCCAAGCATAGAGTGACGCTTCGTTCAAATCCTTGAGGATACAGTACTTAGATTTCAGCATAATGGGCATCTTTCCGATAAAAACTGTTTCCTCCTTCATCTGCTCCTGGGGCAGCTGCTTCGTTTCCCAATCGAGGTATGTACCTTGAGTCTTTGGATCACTCTCGCCCTCATTATCGTCGTCGTCGTTGGGCTTGCCCATCTTCTCACGACCTTCCATAATCTTCTTGGTGACACCGAGGTAAAGTGGGGAAGCGTAAGTAAGGTTTCGTAGACGAGCTTCCTGAGGCAACATGATCGTGGTCGCACCATCGCCTTCCGTAACGGATGGGCGCGAAAGCATGACAGTGCCAAATTTGAGCTCATACCGGCGCACAACGATCGGTTCGACTTCGTCTTCGGAGGGGGGAGTGTTTGGTCGAGAACCACCTGGCCTTGCTCCTCCACAAGCTCCTGCATGGTCGAAGAGATGAATTCATCGAATGAATCCAACTGCTGAGAGACAAGACCCTTCGAGTCAAAGAAGGACGAAATCACCGTCCAGCAATCCTCAGAGGTGATGCCCTCGTCCGCCTCATCGTAAAAATCCTCCTCGTATGTCTCCTCGTATTCCACCATGATTGCGATAAATTGAGGTTAGGTGTTGATTAAGATAATGAGGATCGGAGGTGTAGGAAGGTAGAAAAGCGCAAGGCGCGTCGGCGTAGGAGCTCTGCAATAATCGCCCAACGCACTGCAGCGCTCGCCTGACAGTTTTCGAAAGTGGGGTTGTTAAGGAGTCAAGGAGTCAGAGACAGATGCAAAAAGCAAGGCTGACAAACTGGGGGGGATGAAAGAGAGGCTCCCCGACAATATTCCGATGAAGGGACTGATCTCCAGATGTCTGGATGCTTCTCAGCCATGCGCTAGTCTCGATGAGGTAGATGCACGTGATCATATCTCACCGCCCTAGCAATATGGTCGTGGCTGCACGTGAATATCCATGACCGCCAAGCCACTTGGCGCAATTTTTCACCAACAACATAATTTTCGTATACCTACCACAGTCAATTTATTGCCATCACCCCAAATATGACTAAATCAACCCAAGGATTGGAAGATCGGCATTGGAATTGCCTTGCGATCATATGCTGAAAATGATAAACCAAAAATTGCTAAATTGGCGCGGGAATTCAATATTCCGTACCAGTTGTTGCGCGGTCGGATCAATGGTGCAAAATCGCAAAAAGGCCGTACAGGCACCCACAAAGCATTGGATGCTGAGCAAGAGGAGGCGGTAATTCAGTGAATTCGTACCTTGAATAATGCCAATACTCTGCCAACTGCCGACATGATTCACGACTATGCTACCTCGATTCTTAGTCGCCATAAGATCGAGTGGAAGCTTGGTTACAACTGGGCGTACAGATTTATCAAGCGTCTCCCCGACAACTGCCTCTATACAAAGGGGCTAGGGGCGAAAGCGAAGGACCGGATATCAGGCCGAAATCAGCCCACGGCTAACTCTTCATCGTCTACGGAGAGGTCTGATGATAGCGCGGCACCACCAGAACTCCTCGACTACGCCTGCAAATCCCTACGCGATGGATCTCTCGACCTCAACCAGCGAAAGCGAACACGCACTCGCCATAACTGTGTCGAAGTACGCCACCCGGCGCGCAAGTGTTGCGCGTCGAGGACGGAAAAAGACAAGAAACGGAGTAAATTGTTAGGCTGTGCGGTAACGAAGGGGAGATCATAATAAAGGGCACTGGAGTGTAAGATCATGTATTTTGACGAATTGTATTGAGTCGTGTTGATCGCAGGATCGTCGAAAGGTTGAGTTCATCTTACCCATACAAAAAGTTGTGTTAGGCGCATTCCCTGACCACCTTAGGTACATACATACCCATTCTCTATAACGGACATTGGGACATATTCCTGTTAAAGCGTATTGAATGTCTTGGATTCATACTTCGATTTCATATAATCATGTTGACATCTTCCAGTTCGGAATTCTAAACCAATTTGGTCGTACATGAGCTGGAATTTTCTACCTGTCAACATAATTTAGAAGCAGCGTAGTTAAGATACTAAGATCTCTATGCATATGTGATGGGATTTTGGTCTACATGTCTATATCAACAAGCTAACTTTTCAATCCGAGGAAAATATTAGATCTTAGTGAAATCTATGTGTACTGGCGCCGAGGTGACCCTGTGGATTGGATTTGCTGATAACATTGGTATTATGATACGTTACAATTCTGTCGTTGTTCAAACAAACTGCAAAAGAGTGCTTAACATGTCCTTCAACTCTGTGTGACCCAGGTCATCCTCTCCGAGACCTTCGATTTGTTCTACTCGAGTTAGCCTCCGGTAATTATAGCAATGTGGATTACTCACCTTGCAAGGTCCCACGGATCAGGGACAAATCTTCGTCACGGTCCGCAAGAAGTGAGACGATCTTTCCCTTCGCTCCATCATCTTCGGCAATGAGCCACGCCAAAATAACATCAATTGTCTGCAGCAGTTAGCAAGGAGCCTTGCCACCGCAAAAGAGAAATCATACCTGCAATGAGAACAAACCCGCATCCAACCGCCTTGATAGCCATTCACTAGCCATAAGTTCTTGCTCCTCCTTGTCAAACGTTCTGCGTTCTTTTTCAATCGCTTCTTCGACGGGTAAGATACGTGCGGCATACTCGCGCCGGAGATTGATAAGCTTCTCGATCCTCGCGTAGTCCTTCTCCATAAACTTGGCCAACGTGCGGATGCGGGGAGCAGAACCACCAGGCAGAAGACGGAGAAGGGAGGCGAAAATTCCCAAGAAATGTTCGATGTTTTGACCTTCTTGCTGGATGGATATTAGCATACCACAATTTGACTGCGAGAGAGCAAACTTACTTTCTTCAAGAACATTCCGAACACCGTCTTCAGGCCAGCTGCTTCCACCAACCTCTCGCAGGCCGGGGCACCTCCCACTCCACCCAAGGCGTGGTCAAGAACCCTCAAAGCACGTGGCTTACTGAACTTGCCTTCCTTAAGCATGATCAGCGCAAGCTCAACACCTTCGGCCTCCACGAATTTGTCTTTCCCTATGTCTTCCTCGACAAGGCAGATCAGAGCGTCAAACAGATTCTCCACATATTCTTCCTCATCTGAGTCTTTAGCTGGATCGCGTTTGCGGTATGCACTAAGCAGCTGGAGAAGGATATCAATGCCATCGAGCTCAATAAATTTCGTGCGATTCTTTGGGGTGGACTGTAAAAGGATTGCCAGAATCTCTGCGGCATATTGTTTGTTTTGGCTGACAATCGCTTCTTTTCGCTGAATACGGGACAGGATCCAAGGCAAGATTGCAGCGTCCTGCCCAATTTTCTCCGCGTGTGATGTCTGAGAGGCCAGGTTTTCCATTACACCTTTATTGAATTAGAAAATTCTCGCATTATTTCTTGAAACAGGATACTCACCTAACACGTAGTATACTCCCACTCGATCTGTTTCAGACCCTTCATCAAGTCGGGAGAGATTTTGAGCCAACAATTCGATGAGGTCGGCCTCCATCTAGTGATAGTTAGCACTTGGTACTGATATTTCCATGCCTCAACATACCATTGCGTTGACAAGAGCATCCCATTGTTCTTGCTCTGCTTCCATATCCTCGTCCGTCAATTCACTGATTATTTGGACGACATCAATTGCAATGTCGGTGTTTTCATGCGACAAGAGAGAGGTCAAGGATGCCACGCATCCCATCTTAGCAAACTCCTCGTATAGGTCGGGATGCTCAGACAGTATTGATAAGCCTTTGATTTCAGTATCTAGGTCGGCCTCGGAAGCCATGAACCTGCAGCAACATTAGCACCTGGTACATACAAATGTCCGGTATCCACTTACTTTTGCGGATCATTCTCAAATTTTGCTCGTAGTTCAGCGTTCTTAGATATCTTCTTCTCGAAATTCAATGCAAAGCGGCGCACCCACGCAGAGTCGAACTTCTCGGGCTAGATAAGCATACCGTCAGCCCCTGGATAAATACCCTGTGTACCAAAAGTTCCATACCGCAGCCTCGTCCTCCTCTTGCTGATCGATGTATTCCATTGCTTGGGCTGTCTTGCGCTCCATTCCACCGCCGAAGAAGCGGCCCTCCTCATCGTCTGGGACGTCGTCCTCGAAGTCCGGAGGAAGCTCGGGTCCAGCTTCACCGTCGTCAATCTCGTCCTCCACCATTGGTGCTTTTCCATTTGATCTTACATCGCCACTGGGGTCAAGTTTTGCTGATTTGTAGTGTTCATCTGTCATCGTCAGGATTTGCGGCAAGCGCATTGCGAGGAAAGGGCGTACTTGGATCTTGGACGGGCTCGAACTTGCGCTTAGCGCTCCCTGTTGCAGATGATTTCTTTTCTCATCAGCCATGCCATCAATTCAGTAGATGAACTTGGAACTCACTTTGAAGAGCTCATCGACGTTCATCGTGGTTGCTGCGGCGAAAACGCCGGTTGAGTGGACAATGTGGAAGCAACCACTATCTGTGGCAGTGATATATCAAGGAATATTGATTTTGTGAGAGATATATCCGAAGCAGCAGTGAGGAGATCTAGATATAAAGGAAACGCTAGACGACGCTGTCGCATTGTCCTTCACTGCGCGGGCAAAATAAATACGGTTGTCCACGGGAGCTAAAGACGCAGTGACCAAGCGTTCCGAGGCCGCAGATTTCTCGACGTCCGATCATCACTCCAACACCAACATCAACATACGTTCTCTATATTCGTCCCTCACATCACATACGAAATGGCCCCTCACCAGCGCATCGTTCCCTCCGGCTCTCGGCCCCAGAAAGGCTTCGTCCGCACTGTCTACGACGAGGCCACCAACCCCGAGAACAAGACCATTGTCCGCAGCATCGTGATCTTCGGTGTACGTGTTGCCTAATCAACAATTTTAACATCTCAATATTATCCATGAAACTGACAATATATTTAGGCCGGTATTGCGTTCCTCCACTCAAGCTTCGGAGAGTTCCTCCTTCCTCCGTAAGTCAAGCCAACCCAACACGTTTGCATCGAGATCAACCGAATGAGCCTCATCTAATATCGCGCAGCATGTAAAATCATCACGCTTTCTATACCTCCGGTGGTACGACTCGGACTCCCTCTTTTAAACCTGTGGAAGCATATCGGCGTCGGTCAAAGGAAAACATGATGCGGGAGCATCTTTCGCTCGGCAGTTTTTCGATTGGATAATTTGTACAATATTTTATTGGCAGGGCATGTACTATCTGACATGCTGTGTCCTGTTTTGAGATTCACGAATATCAGGAATTTTGCCATTTGCTGGATGTCCGGCTGTGGTACAATCCAATTTTTGGCCCGTGATAATTATGACCTAGTCCCTCAAGATTTGGAAGAGGCTGAAACTAGGTCTCTGAGGCAACAGCCATATCCGACTGCGCTTTGTCACAGCACAGTTGTACGAATATTGAAAATCGGCTGACAACACTAGATGAGTAGCCATCAGTGACTGCAACAAGTTGAGATGGATGCGTACGTTTCTTGTGTCGATAATTGAATCTCTAACAGTGTAGAATAAGACGCCAATTGATACATGAGGTAAAACAACAGAATTATAGCAATGCCGAATCTATTCCTGAAACACGCAGCGATATATATTTTGACTATCGCTGAACACCTTGTCTATCCGATTGTACAATGAGACTAAGAAATTCCCATTCTACCATTCTACCACAATTTGGCTCAAGCCAATGGGTGCGCCCTCTCTGTAAGCCATCTCTCTATCTTTCTCTCAGATAGTATGTCATCTATATGAGCGCCAATATATAGCCCCTGGCTTCCAATTGTTTGTAGCGCTTCTCTTTAGCGATCATCCTTTTCATAAAAAAAAAACACAATATCTTACCCATGACTGAGCAAGTACCCAAAGAAGCGCAAAGGAACCAACAAGCCGTGGCTAATAAGATAGAGTGAAGGCAAGCTGTGTGGATGGTCCAAAGATGGAATATACCACTTACGCACGGGCAACTCTAAATAAGCAACCAACAGGCTCTTTCTGCGACTTGATTTCTTTGCCTCGTCTTGTTGTAACGGATATTTTGAGGGCGGCGATCGGAGTATGAGTATGCAGCATATGGTGATCAGAAAGTAGTTCACAAAATAAACCTATTGTGAGTACCGACTGACGGATTGAGTATGAACTGAGTGCTTAATATATCATGATTTTGATCAAATTTATCACGGGCGTCTATTGAAACTACTCGGTGGGCTGACTCCGAGTGCCCTTATAAAAGTGAGGCTGGAATAGGAAACCCTAACTGGAGAAAATAGTACGTATAGTGACCTACGTACTTTATTTATATGAAGAGGCGATGGTCAAAATTGGTGGACTATAATAATTTCATTTTTCATGTATAGATCATTGATCCAGCCAACTAGATTCACCAATTCAAATCTCTAATGGAGCAGAATGACATCAAGCCAACGATATTTGGGCCGATTTCCCCAGGCGCCAAGACCCCGCAGAGTTGCCCCCACATTTCCCCAGTTCCGAACACCGCCTTCTTGCAGGCTTATGAGTTGAGGGTCCCTGTGGAACAAAATCGCATACGTCTACCCCCAACCAGGGCCACATGACACATCACACCTGGGAGCCCATGTCTTCAACTCCTCTCAAACGTAAGTTGGCAGAATCTTGCGAAGAGCCCACGGCTAAGCGCCACCATCTTCATGGATACGATCCGCAA